CCACTTTAGAAAACATTCTGGAAGCTCCTCAGAAGGTTAAATACAGTGCTACCATAAACCCAAACCAAACTCACTGCCACTGAGTCAATTCCGACTCACAGAGACCCTATAAGACAGAGTAGAACTGGCCCTTTGGGTTTCTGAGATTCTAAATCTTAAAGGGAGCAGACAGTTAAACCTTCCACCTGCATAGTGGCTGGTGGGTTAGAATTACTGACTTTGTTAGCAGCCCTACATGTAACCCACTACACCACCAGGACTCCTCACTGCTACCATATCACTCAGCAATTCCATGGCTAGACATACAAATCAAACTTATGTCCATGCAAACACTTGTACACAAATGTTGATAACACTTGTGATAGTTAAGGTTTTGTATCTACTTGACTGGATTCTCAGTAGTTGAGATGTAGTTATGAAGAGATATCCTATTATGAGATCTAATAAATGTAATCACCTCCACAATAAGATCTGCTATGAGAAGTCAACCAACTAAAAGGAAGTGTCCTTACTGTGGCAGGTTTCCTACATACTAGACACTCTGGCAAAGCTTTCTGTGGGTCTAGATTCTCACTTTGGCTCAGCATCGGACCTCTAGTTCTTGGACTTGAGCCAGCGGCCTGCTCTATTGCCTGTGGATCCTGGGAGCTGTCAGTAATTTGCCATCTTACGTGCCCAACCTGTCTGCCTGCCGTCTGATCTACTGATTTTAGTTCATCTGATCCGTGGACTTGGATATTGCCCACCTGTAAAACTGTGTGACATATTGTCAGAAGGGACCAGTTGTTGGAGAAGGATATTATGTTTAGTAAGGTGAAGGGTCCCCAGTGAGATGGACTGGTAAAGTGGTAGCATCAATGGGCTCAAGTGTGGCAACAATAGTGAGGTTGGCCCAGGACTAGGCAGTTTTTCATTCTGCTGTGCATAAGGTCGCTATGAGTCGGTACAGACTCTATGGCACCTAACAACATAGAGTCTATGGCACCTAACAACATAGACTCTATGGCACCTAACAACAACAACAACAAAAAACTGTGCTAACCATTTCTTTGATATAAACTTCTTTCTATACATACATACATACATACATACATAAGCTTCACTAGTTTAGCTTTTGTAGAGACCCAGCATAACACAACACTGTAATTCATAAAAGTCATTAAAAAATACAAAACAAAAAACAAATAACTGAAATGTTCACCAACTGATGCCTGATGAGTGAATAAGTAATTGTGGTTATATCCATTGTTAATAGGGTTTTGTGTCAACTTGAGTAGGCCAGGATTCCCATGGTTTTGTAGTTAAGGTGTACTTCTACTCAAGGTGATGAAACCTATTATAGGCATAGCTAATTCTATGATGAGTGGCTATAAGTGGCCAGTCAATTAAAGGGATGCTTCCTTGAGGGTATGGCCTGCGCCCAATACACTGGACATGCAGGAAAGACTCTTGTTCTCTTTTTAGCTGGGGGCCTGGGACTCTGCAATTGTAAGTCATTTCCTTGATAATAAATGTCTTTATATATATATATATTTCACTGGTTTTGCTTCTCCAGAAAACCCAGCCTAAGACATCCATCAAATGGACTATCACATGTCAATAAAAATGGATTAAGTACTGGTATAACCGTATGTATGACCCTTGAAAACATTATGCTAAGTGAAAGAAGCCAGTTGCAAAATGCTACATAACATATGGCTCCATTTATATGAAGTATCCAGAACAAGGAAATGTGTAAAGTCAGAAAGTAGATTTGTGGTTATCTAGTGAACCACTGGAGTCCTGATGTGGCACTGTAGGATATGCACTGGACAGAAAGTTCGGTTTGAACTGCAAGGTCAGTGGTTCAAACCCACTCGCTCCTTGGAAACTTTATAGAAGGTCACTAAGAGTCAGCACTAACTCAGTGACACTTAACAACCACACAGGGATCCTTGGAAGTTGTCAAAAATGAAATGGAATGCATAAAGATGATATTCTAGGCGGTGCTATAGTAGTTCAGTGCCATTGAGTCAATTCTGACTCATAACACACCTGTTTAGGGTTTCTGAGGAGTGGCTGGTGGGTTTGAACGACTGACCTTTTGGTTAGCAGTCTAATTCTTATCCTACAGCACCACACTGGAACTGCATCCTAGGCATTGGTGAGCTGAAATTGACTGGTACTGGCCATTTTGAATCTGACAATCATATGGTTTACCAAGCTCGGTGTATCAGTTTGAAGAGAAATGGTGTCACACTCACAGTCAAAAAGAACATTTCAAGATCCATCTTAAATTACAGTGCTGTCTATAAAAGCATAATATCCACACATCTACAGGGAAGACAGGTTAGCACTCCCATTATTCAAATTTACCTGCTAACCACTACAACCAGTGATGGTGAAATTGACAAATTTTACCAACTTCTTTAGACTGAAATTGATCAAACATATAACCAACTTTTGCATATGATTGGAATGCAAAAGTTGGAAACAAACAGCAAAGATCTGTAGTAGGAAAATATGGCCTTGGTGATAGAAATGATGTTAGAGATG